CCCCAGTGCCCCCCGAGCCCCCCGGAGGTCCCGCAGCCCCCCCAAAGGGCCGTTTTTGGGGTGTCCCCCGTCAGGACAAGGACCTCAAGCAGTACCTGGATGACTGCGGCAACGTCATCCACATGCACAACGTGAAGGTGCGGCGCGCGGGGGACGGGGGGGACACGGGGGGAGCACGGGGGACATGGGGCACGCGTGGGACACGTGTGGGACACGTGTGGGACCAGTACTGGGTGTGGGGCGGGCGGTACTGGTTCTGGTCCCGGTCCCGGGCTCACCGGGCGGTGCCGCGTGGCAGCAGCTCTTCCTCTTCCAGCTGCTCCGCGGTCTGGGGAGCAGTACCGGTACCGGTACCGGTACCGGGTGTGGGGCGGTTCTGGTCCCAGTCCCGGGCTCACCGGGCGGTGCCGCGCGGCGGCAGCTCTTCCTCTTCCAGCTGCTCCGCGGTCTGGGGAGCAGTACCGGTACCGGTACCAGTACTGGGTGTGGGGCGGGCGGTGCTGGTCCTGGTTCTGGTCCCGGTTCTGGTCCCGGTCCCGGGCTCACCGGGCGGTGCCGCGCCGCGGCAGCTCTTCCTCTTCCAGCTGCTCCGCGGTCTCGCCTTCTGCCACCGCCACAAGGTTCTGCACCGCGACCTCAAGCCGCAGAACCTGCTGCTCAGCGAGCGCGGCGAGCTCAAGCTGGCCGACTTCGGTGAGGGGGGACCCCAAAACCCCCCTGGGGCCCCCAACACCCCCTGTGCCCCCCAAAACCCCTGGGACCCCCCCAGGACCCCCTGCACCCCCCTGTACCCCATGGGACCCCCCAGTCCATCCTGCCCCTGTTAACGAGCCCGTTAGCGAGCCCGTTAACGAGGTCATTACCGCTCGCTGGCAGGGCTGGCGCGCGCCCAGTCCATCCCCACCAAGAGCTACTCCAACGAGGTGGTCACGCTCTGGTACCGGCCCCCCGACATCCTCCTCGGCTCCACCGAGTACTCCACGCAGATCGACATGTGGTGCGGGGGC